CTGGTACTCACCCTTCTCCTTCTCCAACACTGCTTGTGTTATCTGAGAATTCATGGCTCCTGACTCTTGGTTTCCATCCGACGCATTCTGGTTGAGAGGTAATGCCTCTGCCTTTACGGCAAGATGATAGATTTCCACTTCATCTACTTTCAATAATTCTGACTCCTCAAACATAGAGAAATCGATCCCTGTTCCAGAGGGCAGTCTAAACTTCTGTCCTAGACCTTGTTCGAAAGGTACAATTACCGGGGGTAGGATACTTTCCTTCATTGCTGTCAGATTGCACTCTTCACCTTCTTTTGCAAAGAAAATAACAGTCATCCTGTATGCAGAACAAACCAAATAAATCGTCTAGTTAAGAAATAATATCTGAGACCAAACATGATTCACATGAAAACCGGCAAATATGAACTACAAGATAAGATGCAACATAACTTCAATGCAGCAAAATTGATTCTAAGAAGAGGAAAACACTTGTGCTTAAGTGCTACATGAATGCACTCCATTAAGTATTACTTTCTCATGATCCTAGAGAACCGGAAATACATCAAATAATATATTGCAAGATCAATCGATCGTCGTACTATTGATAAGTATGAATGCGCAGAAGAAAACGATAACATCAAATGCATTATTACATATCTGTAAGAAAGTCAGCTACCTACATGCTTGCAACATAAGTTTAGGCATCATTCAGTGTTTCTTTTCCTATACATCTAACAATAATCATCGAAATTGGCATAATTGACACTCAAGCTCTTAAAACAAATTTAACAATAATCATATGAATGTTATCCGAGGAGCAAAATCGTGATCAAAAGCGACTCGAATACATAGCTAGAATTTTTTATACCTTCCAGCAACAGTAGCATCAAACGTGAAAGAAACCAAGAACTTCCCAGGATTCAGCTCATCAGCTTCGAATTTCAAAGTCTCCTTCTTCAAATTGACGTCGTTCTTTATAGTAACCGCTTTCTGATGCTCTATATACGGCACCGGCGGCAGGGGCATCATCGGTCCATAAGCATATCGGCCCCAATTGGCGGGCTCTATGTGAGGCCCACCCCGATGGTGGTGGTGATGATGATGATCGTAGGGTGCCGGAATCGGCAACGGCACAGGCGGCTGGTGAGGGTAGTACCCTGGGTACTGGTAGTACTGGGACGGGTTGGCGTTCGGGTATTGGGGCGCGTAAGGAGTCGCGGCGGCGAAGACGTAACGGTTGGCGGCGATTTCAGTCTGCGGCTGGGCTGGAGGAGGCGGGGGAGGGTGGTTCCGCCGGCTTCCGTGCCTTCTCCGGCCATTACTCCGCTACTTCCAATGTTCCCCATGAACTTTTCCCGGGTTTTGGAATATAAAGTAAAACAAACCGGTTTTTTTTTTGCAAAATATCTATAAAGGAATGATTTTTATAACCAAGTTCGATCCAGGTTTCATGTAAAAATTTCAGGGTTTCCCATTTCCACCCCTCAAAACCCTCCAAAAAAATGAAAAAAAAAAGAAAGACGAAAATTATTTGGGAGAACAAAAAGAAAAACTATGTTTGCTTTTCCCTTTCATTTTTCTATCAAAAGAATAAATAAATGGAGAACCTTAGGTTGGGTGAATATTTGGTTAGCGTAAAGTTCAACCAAAACCACCATTGATGGACGATAGGAGTTGTGGTAGAGTGAACACTTCTATTTTCTCTGTTTTTTATGTTAAAAATATTTTAATACCGTGTCAATATTTCGAAAGAATATGAAATGAGTAAATTACATAAGCAGTCACTGAAGTATAAGTAATTTCCCTTCTTCAGCATTGAAGTTTAAAAAAATAACAAACGCGAGAAGCTCGTTTACGTTCACTTATTTATTAAACGAACAACATGAATAAGATTTTTTGTTCGTTTAATTAAATGAATGAACATGAAAAAAAGGTTTATTTCATTTATGTTCATGAATATTCGACAATCAGTTCATTTATGTTCGTTTAAATTTGTTCACGTGTGTATTTCCACTCAACAACTCACTATCCCTTTCATTCCAAAGTAGATTGAAAAAAAAACATTAAATCGTTTAAATTTATGTTCATTTACGTTTATTTGTGTTATTTTTCATTTTAACGAACAAACATTAATAAGCACGAACAAGCTTATATTCCTTTAACGAACGAACACGAATAATAAATTTTGTTCATTTAGTTGTTCATGTTGGTTCGTTTGTTTAATTAAAGTTAAACGAACGAATATGAATATACTCTCGTGTTCGTTGTTTATCTACCAAATCACGATACATGTATTGCATATGTGACGATGTGATTTATTTCTTTAAAAACAACTACGTTTTTATGTTACATATATAGTTTACTGTATCACAATGACTTTAAAACACAATATGATATGGTTGTTATACTGTGTTTGGCCACAATTTAACTATTGACCTTTAAGTGTTGTTTGGATCACGAAATGTAAGATTATCTTTGAGAATAAGATTATCAGAATGTAACATTACATGGCATATTACTAGGAATGTTGTACTACCTTGTTTGATTTGTTTGACAGAAATGTAAGATCACAGTATTTGATTGGAGGAATATAAGATATGAATAATATATTTTACCAAATTATCATTGAAATATTTTTTATTAACAAATTAAATTCTCAAAATTAAAGTGAAAATTTTTTACATGAAAGTTTATAAAAAAATATAATTTTTCTATTATTTGTAATTTCTATATCTTTTAAAAGTTCTATACAAATAATTTAAATAAAATAAACATAAAGATTAATAAATAAAATATCAAATCAACTTATTTTATAAAATAAATAGAAATATAAAAGATAAAATATAGAAAACCTTTTATAGAAATTAATCCTAAAAATAAACTTAATAAAACACACAAACTTGAATCAAATACATAAAATAATCAAAATAAAATAAAGTATTGATATTTTTTTACCTTTTATTTTATATTCATCATATTATTTTATAATAAGTATTAAAATATTAAATCATTAAAAAAAGAAATAAAAGTGATTTATGCTCGTATAATTATGTATAAAAGGAATGGGCATTTTAAAATAATCATTAAAAAAAGAAAGAATGATATTGTCGGGAAAAGACTCAAAAATTATTATAGTAGGGGAAAAAAACAACTAAATTGAATATATGATAAAAAAATTATTCCCCATATTAAAAGCCATCAAAGGTAAACAACTATTTGGTCCATTGGGTTTAAAAATGGTTCAAAACTCGGTGTTCCTTGAATAAGTATGTTTCTAGGCCTAATAAAATTTAGTCTTTTAAAATAGTAAAATTGACCAGGCAGATTAATTATTTAGTCTAATATATATAAAGCAAATTATTTAAAGATTTACGATATTTATTACAGTTATTTGAAATTTGTTACGTCGACGTGATGAATTTAAATAAAAAATATTATCTGGATAAATTCGTCACGTGGACTTGATGAGTTTGTTCTATAATGTAGTATTTACCGCAGATTGTAAAATAAATTCCGGGTCTATTGAGCTAATTAATTTTTGGAAAAAGAAAAACCATTAGTAAAATATCTTTAAGAATAAATTTTAGTAAAATATTATTTTTTTTGGGAGAAAATTGAAATTCATGTAGCTAATGGTCTTTGATAATCATTATAATGGGGAATGGATTGGTCCCTGAAATGAAAGAGGAGAATTTAATATAATTCACATTTAGACTTTGAGAGGCTGCTAAGTGCTTTGGTCCCTAGCAATTGGTCACTCACTAGTTTATTCATTACTTCATTTGATTTTTTGGGGAAAAAATTATTGACGCCATCAAGATCCTGTCGGCAGGCTTCTTTTAAGATAATTTAGAGACAATTGAATATTTTCGAATCCAAAAGCTTACAATAAATCCGAATAACATACCAATCAATTGATCTAACGAGATAAGACGCTATATCCCTTAAACAAAGTCAAGGATTCAAATCATGACCATTACAAATGGAATAAATTAGACTAGGAATGTCGTCCTTGCATCTGCAGTACTAGATCCATATTAGTTGATCAATCGATAAGATATTGATGGTTATACCGAAAAAAATCTGAATAATATATGCTTTAGTAGCAATGGAGAATTAAATAGAGGTTATGTGAGGTGCTGAAGAATAGCCTTTTTTTTTTATTACCCCAATATCACTCATTTAAAACGCATTTCATCAAGACACATCTGCACAAGTATGGAACATATGGGAAGCACATATATTAGTTCTATTCACTCAATTAATATGTGTTTAAAAAGTTCTATTTAAACATTTGAGAATCTCCATATCTAAATAATATAGCATTTGAAATCCCATGAACTTTATAAAAGTCGTATTGTTTAGATATGTAATTTTTTAAGTATTTAAATATAATATTTTAAACACACATTTTTTAAGCGATTAAACATAAGATTAATACATGTGTTTCGTCATCATCGCCAAGCTCATTCGTATTCTCGATACGCATCACATATTCACATGTTCTTTTTTTTTTAACAAAATTCATATAGTAATTTTAGTTTGTTTTTGGCTCTTTTGACTTTTCTTTCATTTTAGTCCAACCTGTCTCGTATAGTCGTCACATAGGCAGAAAACACTTCCTACAAAAAAGGGTTTTGAAGAAACGGACCTTTGTCTGCATGATAAAAAAATATATCATCCCAAAATGTAATCGGAGATAGAGATTAAAATGATGAATAGTTTTCAAATGAGTGATATTTGAGTAAAAAGGCCCAATATGCAACACACAAATCAGTCGGAATCAAGTTGGCTTCAAGCTGACAATGCTCCCAGGCTATCCTTTTTCCCTAGAAGCATGTCACCCATGCTTTTCAGTGGTCAAATTTAGCATATAAGCTTAACACAAGCTCAAGCCATATGATTCCCACCCGAAAAGGCAGCTTCTTTTTCCAACTTTTTTGCGTCTCAGCTTGGTGAAGGTAGTAGGGTGTTTCAAGGACTAATTCATAAGTAAGGGTACTGAAACGCAAAACTGACATAAGTAAATTTTATTGCTCTTGTCTGCATGCATAAAGTTAATAATAAGCACACCATTTGTCCTACATATTCTCAAACTGGTTTACCTCGTAAAAATGGTCTAATCTGTTCACCGGAGTTCAGATTAAAAATACAACAAAGCAAATATTACAACACGCAGGGAGACGACAGTAACAGGCTGCGAATGTTTGCCGCCTCAAGAGGACTAATTCTTTACGGTTGTCACATGCTTGAGAAGCATTTGGACGACATCATCTGATATTCTTGCAGCCTCGTTTTTCAGGTGTTGAATCTTTGCATCGGTTTCTTTCTCGAGTCGCTTCACGTTAGCACCCGAATCTCCGCTGCTCTGTTTGAAGACCACACGACAGGCATCAAAACACAAAAAAGTTAACGAATCTATGATGCTAGTATTATGCAAGGAGAGAAGAGAAGCTTCCAATCCTCATTAACAATCTCGAGTTATAGAGAGACACTTTACAAGCTACAAGAAGAAGAGTCGGAAGCTCAGCCTAGTTGACCATCAAGAATTATTTACCTCGGCAAGTTTACTCTGAAATTCCTTCTCCACTCGAGCTCGGTATTCAGCAATCTCCTTTTCAGCCTCTTCCTTGGCTTGTTTCAGCCTAGCCATCTTGGCTAAAAGAAGAGATTGAAGAAGTCAAGAACCAAGACAAATTACTTTAGAGCTAAAATGAAAAAGTTATAATAATGAACCAAAAAGAAACCCCACGGACTACTTTGAGGAGACAAAAAATAATGCATGCAGAAGCAATTCCATGCATGTCTCGAAACAAACATGTACATAAAACACTTCATGCGAATGATTGAGTGCATACACACATGCACAACTACGGACGGATACAATAAGAGAACAAGACACAGCCAGCTTCTGTATTGAGGTCAAGTCGGGAAAATATAAACTTTTCCTTTCTTCTCAAAATCAGGGGTATGAGAAGGTAGCCTTCTATACTTTCACCATCTCTTACAGATATACACACATGAGCGAACATATATATCAATCCGTAATGATAAATCCAGACAAATAACTCGAAATGGTTCAATCTGTGAATCTGTTGAACACAACAAGGAGAGTAGTTACCATTTCTGGCAGAATTTACAACATGCTGAGCTTCTTGTTCTGCAGCAAGCAACTGCTGAATGCCACCCTGTGCCCTATTGGCTTCCATATTTTCCTACAAGATCAAAACTAGTATTCAAGAACAAGATAAACAATAAGTGAATAACAGTATAATTGCGAATCTGGCAGGAAGTCAACCTCACTTCTAACTACAGAATTATGCTTAAGTCTAATAATTTAGAAGTTGAAGAATATGACATGAATAATTCCAAACAGATTAAAGTAAATGCAAAACCCAAAGTTCACGAGGGTAGCCTTGACCTAGAAAAAAGGATACTTAATAAAAAAAAGGCACCGACTTTATCAGACTAGCCGATCATATGGAGATAAAGTACTACGGAATAAGGGCAATAACTGGCAGGGACGGACCAAGGGAGGCTGGCACAAGCGGTGGCCCCCACCCCCTCCTGAAAATTTCAAATTCTAATATATTTAGGCATTTAGCTTTGTATTTTTTATTGGTAATCTATATTAGGTATTTAGCTCTAAATGGATTCTGCTAGAAAACTATTTCAATGGAGAACTACAGCCACTTTCACAAAGTCTTTAAAGAACATATAAATCAAGATTTGTTTCAAATAAAGATCTGTCCTCAAATCCAATCAACATCTTACAATTCTATTATAGTAGTAACAGAGAGGGTTTTCAAAGAAAAAAAATGGGTAATTCAAGTACAGGAACAATAGGCGTGAAAGTGAGATCTAAAGAGAACCGAACAACCAAAAGCATGAGAATTAAAATTGCAAAGACTAAAACGAAAAGGTTCTTCCATTTCTTCGGAGTTCCTGCTTTGATCATTCACGTACCCACAACTCATATGAAGAATTGTAATGAAAAGACTATACACTGAAAGTAAGAAATTTTGGGTTACCTCGTCTGTTTTTTCTTCTGGTCTCAAAGATTTCAGTTGAAAACTCGAGGATGCTTATCTGACTAATCTGACAGGGAAATAAATAAATAATATCTGTTTGTACTCTCTCTCACACACGGAGCTTCAAGAAACGGTGTCGTTTCCAGATTGTCTATCAGTACCTACTTGTGTGTCATAAGGGACTGAATTCATTAATTTCTCACGTGTCAAAAGATACAATTTTCTTGTCTTCGTTATTACACGTGTCTATAGATACACTAGTGTCTATTCGTTTTGCTTAATCTGTTCTAATTTAAAGGTCAAATATTAGTACGGATTTTTAGGTAAATTATACTATTAACCACTCAACTATTTAATTTTTTATTTTTATTTCCGATCTTTTAATTTTATCAATCAAACCATTTAATTATTTATTTGTTGTCAATCAAGATACTTGTTGTTAACAGTTGACAGAAGTGATGATGGCAGTTAAATAAATTGACGTAATTATATATTTAGTCCTCAATACTTATTTGTTAAAGCAATTTGGTCTTAATTTTAATTTAATTTTATAAATTTAATCTTCTAATCACAAAACGAAGGTATTTTTTTAATTTAATCATTTAATTTTACCCAATCATATGTGATACATGTCAGCATTGGATTGGATGACAATTGATAGTAGAAGAGAAATCACAAAGGAGGCCTGTGAGAGTCAAACCTAGGCAAGGCTGGATGGGAAACCAACACCCAAAACGACCAAGCTAAAAGCACTTCTTAGTTTCAAAACACAACATACAACGTACAAGATACTATAATAAATGAAAGAAAAAAAAGTTTAAAAAAGAAGTAATAATCTCATATACACTTATATAAATATATATAATTTAATTTTTTTGTTAACAACTATATGAAATTATTTGATAAAGTTAACAACAATATATATATATATATGTTGACACTGATTTTCGTCCTCAACACACTCACATGATCCTATGAAAATCTCAACGCCCTAAATCTACTTTCAAAATCCACTAAACCCATCCAAATAACAGAAAATCCCGGAAAATCCGGATTTGATTCAACTTACTCCTACATGCATCCACTATATATATTCGGGGCAGAGGAGCTTACAGAGAGAACCAACAGAAGATAGAGGAAATGGCCTCTCGACCATGGTTGAATGTCGAGCTCTATCACCATTTCTATGTCGCTCTCCTTCATTCCTCAAAATCGTAAACAACCCCCACTCACCTTCATTGTTGTCGTCGTTCGTCTCCAAGAGTAAGCAAGGTCGTCGGTCGTCGTTTTAAGGTCTCGTCGTAGCCCCATCGCCGCTGCCAGCGTTGGGGGCTGTTTGTGTTGAAATTGCGAGCTTGGCTCGCTCAAGCGCCTCTAGATCCGTGTGTAATTGGCCATGTGTGGATACTACGAGATCAGTACTCGTGTGGGAAGGTCAGGATGGTCGATGCGCCGCCAAGGGTCACCTCTACCGGCCGTGTGGGTGTTGTTTTGGCTGTTTTCGTGCCTTCGTTCAGGGAAGCTATACAAGAGGCTCCAAGTTCATAAGCTCTAAATCAGATCCATGTTTTCGCCTTCTTTGGAAAGATTGAAGAGAAGAAGGCTGCTCCCAATTGCCCAAAAGTTCAAGCAATGTTGCGTGAAAATTAAACAAATCCCACGTGAAGGTGGACTTTGGGGTAAACTCTTCCTATAGTCCTTCAAATATTATGAGTAGATCTCATTCTCGGTCCCTATAAGTTATACCCTTTACATTTTGGTCATTATAGTTTATTTTCAGTATTTTTTATTTTAATTTCTAATTTTACGCATACTTTATTTTGGTCAATAATGAAATTTAGTTTTTTATTTATTTATTTTCGGTCTCATAGTATTATAATAATTACATTTTAATCATTAATTTGGTGCATTTGATATTTTGCTTAATTACTAGGTGATCCTTAAACATTTTTTTTCATTTTTTTAAGAATTTAACCTTTTGTTATTATTTTTTTTTCATTTTATTTCGCTTTTTTTATTTTATTTATTTATTTTTGTTCTTTTATTTATTTATTTAGTTTATTCTTATTATTTTTCTTTTTACTCAATTCTATTTATTTTTATTTTTTATATTAATATTTTTTTCCTTTTTTTCATATTTATTTATATTTTCTAACATTTTTGACTTTTTAGAAATGTTTTCAATCGATCAAAGGTAATTAATTCGAATTGAATTTTAAAATTTTAATTTAAATTTTAATTTTCGCAATTAAGACAACCAACAAATTAATTGGTACTGAAAGGGCAATTCAATGGTGATAATCCTTCCTTGATTGTAACCGACTCCCGAACCCGACATATTTCTGGTAAAACGCAGATAAGGTAAGATGGTGTCCGATCTACCTAAATATCGTTTTAAAATGATCGATGTCAACTCTAACCCATTCATTTCAAGTCGAAGCCCAATTCCGAGCCAAACCGAAAGACGACTGCGACAGCTTGGCGACTCTACTGGGGACATGTAAGTGAGTCAGGCCGAAATTAATTTCTAGTTGTCTTTTTTAGAGAAAATTACAAGTTTAAATTTTAATTTATTTATTCGATTCTAATTATTTATCTTTGATTATTTTTCAAGTAAATAGTTGTACTGACGTTTTTCTCAATAATTTCATATTTTCAAAATTTTCATCTCAAGCTCTATACCCGAGCTCCAAACCCTATTTAAGTAGGGTGACAGTGATGTATTCGTGAGAATTTATTCTCCGTGCGGGCATAAGGGAATGTATCCTCTCGAGTTTAACTTAGTCCACATAAGCTTATAATGAGCTTAGGACTAAGGGTCTGGTAAGCCCAAGGGGGCACCAACAAGAAGAACTTGGGTACCTTTTTAGAACCTAAACTGGGAGACTAAATAGAATTAGAGCATACCCTAAAGCCTTATTTCAAACCATAGGTTGTTTTGAGATTATTTTCTACTTTATTTTCTGTTCAAAGCATGTGAACTAGAAATTTATGCGGTTATGACTTGTTCGAAATCAACTTACGGGATAGAGATCATGTCCGGGTAGGAATAATAAGCATGTGGGGTAGATATCATGCGGGGTAGGATTTTTTATTTTCATTATTGTTTTGATTTACCTCACTAACACTTTTCATTTTTGTTCTCTTTCAATTTATTTTCATCATTCAAAAGAGGTGTTAATCCATAAAAAATGTGTTCGTTAAACGTAAATAATTTGCATTAATGGACATAGGGGTTATAATACAAGAGATGAAAAGCTCAGAAGTCCGACTATGGTTAGAAAGGACTCATAATGGACCAGGCTTACACCAAGCACGTCAAAAGTCAACTTTTCCAAAACGAATTGGCAAAGGTTGCAGGGCAAGACGAGAAAAAGGTTACTAACCTGGAAAGTTCATTCAAAGGCAACAAAAATAAGATGAAGCAATAGCTGAAATTGGATGTCATTGTTGACGAATTCAAGAAACAAGCAGATGAACTTCGAATAGTTCCTATCGATGAAGGGCTCCAATGATGTTTCCATTAGGGAACAACCTCAACAGAGAGTGAAAACCAGAGATGCAACCATTCGAGATTTCGTGGAACAAATACAAAAAATAGCTCAGAGAGGCCGGAACGGTTCAACAGGGCATTCAACCGGTGACAGAAGAAGGCGGAAGACGAATCAACTTGTCAGAAGTTGTTGGGGTCTAGAAGAATATACCTTTAAAATGTTATTTGTCTCTTAAGAAATAACACTTTTGTCCCCAATAAGGATTATTTATAATAACAGACACATTTTTGGATCAAAACCTCGAACATTTCATGCATCATGTATTCCTGCATATTTCGTATTATTTTTCTCTTTTTAATTACCTTCACATGTCTCGTAAAAAATAGGAACATTTTGATCATATTCCCATGACTTACAAGTAACTTTACCAACAACTTTTGACACTCAGGTAGTATCACCATACCCAATGAACCCTTGAAGCCCCCATACCCCATGTGGTATGATGAGAACACTCATTGCGAATATCATAGTGGTGTCCCAGAGCACACTATCGAGAACTACTTCGCATTCAAAAGAATCGTGCAGAAAATGCGTAACAAGAATTGGATCGACTTCAGTAACTCGGGGGCATCCAAATAAGGAAGAGGATCATTTTATCATTTGCCGTACTTTGTTTGAATTTGTTTTGCTTTTTCTCAGTTTTTTAGGAGATTTAAATGAATTTATACTACTTTAAAGATGGTGAGCCTTGAATCAAATTTGCAGACTTGAAATTCTTTTAATATAAAATAAATTAAAAAATTCTGTAAATGATCGGAGTTATAAATCTTTGACAAAGTAACATGACCCTTGATTTTACCCCAGAAGATACACTCAAACACCATATTCTTCTTTTACAAGAGCCGACGTAGCCTTCACCTTTCATAAGAGAATGAATAAGAGGCTTGGTATTCAAGTAAGTATAAGAGCGGATAACATGGGGTATCTTTTGCATATGATGTTACTATACTTTTGTTTAAGACGTTCAATGATGATAATAATCTTCACAGATGTAATAGTCGAGTAGGTGAATCTAGTTTAAGTCAGTTGCTTGGAAATTGAACTCTAAATATGAGATTCCTTGACTTTCAACAACACCTAGATGAGATTCCTTGACTTTCAACAACACCTAGATGAGATTCCTTGACTTTCAACAACACCTAGACTATAACATGTTCTTCTTAAGAAATTGAATCCGTATACCCAGGTTATAATATATATACAATAAAGCTTGAGCTTCCCTCTTAAACAATTGGTTAAACGCCCCGGCTTTATGGATAAGATTCAACTAGCCTAATAAAGGTGATTTTAATATACAATAAAGCTTGAACTGTCCCTCTAAAGCAATTGGTTAAACGCCCTGGCTTTATGGATAAGATTCAGCTAGCCTGATAAAGGTGATTATAATATTGAGTTGTCCATCTAGAGAAATTGGTTAAACGTCCCGGCTTTATGGATTTAGCTAGCCAGATAATGGTAAATTAAATCTAAATAAGGAGTTTCGGTAAAAATAGTCTAAGTGAGTTAAGGAACATCTGTTATAGTCAATTTCACACAAGCACTCAGGAATTTCATTTTTAGATCGATATTTCTGCACTGCCTTTATTAGAGGAGTTTACAAAGCTTGAACAAATGGAAGATTTCAGAGGACCGAAATAGAAGGTCTGGTAATTGATCACACTAATTGCGTCATTTTGTCCGCATCCAATTAAAATGCCAAGCCAAGAAAAATGTATGTTGCAATGACCGAAAAATGACATTTTTGATGGCTAAAACCTTAGAAAGTAGGAGGCCAACCTACAGCCGACTCATCCATTTGAATATTTGTCAAAGAACTATAACTCTGAAAGCATTAAAAGAGCTATTGATTCATTTGATATTCTTTGAACTCATACTTATGATTTGATTTGATTGCGAGCCAGAATTAAGGAGTAATGTTTTAGAGAATTTTTGTATTCTCATATCCTTTTCCCTACTAAAATAAGAGAAAGGAGATTTTTTTTAAACAGAACAGTTTCAAATGTGAAAGGTCCGCGAAGCTGAAACCCGAGAAGAAAATGGGGCATGGTCGATTCCGAGTACAAGACCGACAGACAAAATGAGGCTCCATCAAATAGAACCAATTCATGTTGCATGCATATTAGGCATACTTAAGAGCATCACATTTATCATTTTTCGCATACATAATTTTTGCAACTTTAAAGTCAAGTTTCAGCTTCAAGACGAAAGATACTCGATTCAAAAGCGCCTTTAAAGATTGATGGTGGTTGCTTAACTTAGCAGTGAAAAGCTACACCTCAAACAACTTGACATATTGAAAGATCGACAGATCTCAGAATCAACTTCAGACAGGTGATATCCGACTGACAAACTACCTCACTTGTCTTTCTCACAAAGAGGAGTCAGTCGAAGATTATCTCACTTGGTTCAGACCCGTTAAGGAGACCACCTAAAGAATTATGATTGGCTTAGACCCATGAAGGGGAGCCAATTTTCACTTAAAGGAAATATTGGCAGCACAGCTCAAGGCGAGAAGGGCTATCTGTCAACAAAGACCTTCGAGTTTGATTACATTCAGCTCAAAGACACATCAAATTCGCAGCATAAGTTAAGGTAAGAAGGGTTATCTGCCAACAAAAGACCTTTGAGTTCGATTACACTCAGCTCAAAGGCACATCAAATTTACAGCATAGCACAAGGCGAGAAGGGCTATCTGTCAACAAAATACCTTCGAGTTCGATTACATTCAGCTCAAAGGCATATCCAATACAACATAACTCAAGGCGAGATTCGATTACACTAAGCTCAAAGGCACATCAAATTTACATCATAGCTCAAGGCGAGAAGGGCTATCTGTCAACAAAAAACGTTCGAGTTCGATTACATTCAGCTCAAAGGCATATCCAGTACAACATAACTCAAGGTGAGAAGGGTTATCTGTCAACCAAGACCTTCAAGTTCGATTACACTCAGCTCAAAGGCACATCAAATTTGCAACATAACTCAAGGCGAGAAGAGCTATCTGTCAACAAATAAACCTTCGAGTTCGATTACATTCCGTTCAAAGGCATATCCAATTTACAACATAACTCAAGGCGAGAAGGGTTATCTGTCGACAAATACCTTGAAGTTCGATTCCATTCAGCTCAAGGGCATGTCAAATTCACAGCATAGCTTAAGTCGAGAAAACCTATCTGTCAACGAAATTATCGAGTTCGATTCCATTAAGCTCGATGACGCATAAAGAAACTACTTTCTGGTTAAAGCCGATATCTTTAAGTCAAGAAGAAGATATGGGGCAATCTCTCAAGTTTAGGACAACATAACTCAAAGGCGAGAAGGGTTATCTGTCAATAAAAACTTTTGAGTTCGATTCCATTCAGCTCGATGACGTATCAACTACTTTTAGGGTAAAGTTTAAACTGAGGTCTTTAAGTCAAGAAGAAGACCTGGGTTGGCTGTGCTTTAGTGACAAGAAACCATCTTCCAGCAGCATAGTTTAAGTCGAGAAAAACTATATGTCAAAGAAGATTTTTGAGCTCGATTTCATTCAGTTCGAGAGCCTATCAACCATATGGTGAAGTCAAGGAACTATTTTCTAGTCGAATTTTTAAATCAAGGTCTTTAAACCGAGAAGAAGACTGAAGTTGATTACAATTTGGCAACGAGAAGCCACATTCCGATTCAAATTCCGAACTACGACTTCAATTCCATATCATCTCAATATGGACTCGACTTCGCGACGGAAGAGTCATCCACAACTCAATTCGACAGAGAGTTATTCTTGATTGAAATATCATAGTCAATTTTCAACTCCACCAAACGAAAATTTGTGTCATTTTATCTTTGCCCTATTTTTCGTTCCATAAAAAAGGATAAAGAGGGGCAACTGTTGACACTGATTTTCATCCTCAACACACTCATCATGATCCCACGAAAATCTCAACGCCCTAAATCTAATTTCAAAATCCACTAAACCCATTCAAATAATAGAAAATCCTGAAAAATCCGGATTTGATTCAACCTACTCCCACATGCATCCAACTATATATATTCGAGGCAAAGGAGCTTACAGGGGGAACCAACAGAAGATAGAGGAAATGGCCTCTCGACCATGGTTGAATGTCGAGCTCTATCACTATTTCTATGTCGCTCTCCTTCATGCCTCAAAACCGAAAACAAGCCACACTCACCTTCATTGTTGTCTTCGTTTGTCTCCAAGAGTAAACAAGGTCATCGGTCATCGTTTTAAGGTCCCGTCGCAGCCTTATCACTGCTTCCAGCGTAGGGGATGTTTGTGTTAAAACCGCGAGCTTGGCTCGCTCAAGTGCCTCTAGATCTGTGTGTAATCGGCCATGTGTGGATACTAAGAGATCAGTACTCGCGTGGGAAGGTCAGGATGGTCGATGTGCCGCCAGGGGTCACCTCCATTGGTCTTCGTTAAGGGAAGCTATACAAGAGGCTCCAAGTTCACAAGCTCTAAATCAGATCCATGTTTTCGCCTTTTCTTTGGAAAGATTGAAGAGAAGAAGGCTGCTCCCAATCGCCTAAAAGTTCAAGCAATGTTGCGTGAAAATTATACAAATCCAACGTGAAGATGGACTTTGGGGTAAACTCTCCCTATAGTCCTTCAAATATTATGGGTAAATCCCATCCTCGGTCCCTGTAAGTTGTACCTTTACATTTTGGTCACTGCAATTTATTTTCAGTATTTTTTATTTTGATTTTCAATTTTATGCATACTTTATTTTGGTCACTAATGAAATTTAGTTATTTATTTATTTTCGGTCTCATAGTTTTATAATAATTACATTTTAATCATTAATTTGGTGCATTTGATATTTTGCTTAATTACTAGGTGATCCTTAAACTTTTTTTTTCATTTTTTAAGAATTTAACAGTTTGTAATTATTTTTTCCTTCATTTTATTTCGCTTATTTATATATTTATTTATTTTTGTTCTTTTATTTATTTATTTATTTTTATTTTTATTATTTTTCTTTTTACTCAATTGTCTTTTTCTTTTTTCTTTTTTATATTAATTTTTCTTTTTTTCATATTTATTTCTATTTTCTAACATTTTTGGCTTTTTAATTGGTATCGAAATGACAGTTCAATGGTGCTAATCATTCCTTGACTGTAACCGACTACCGAACTCGACACATTTATGGTAAAACGCAGATCAGGTAAGATGGTGTCCGATCTACCTAAATATCGTTTTAAAATGATCTGTGACGACTCTAACCCATTCATTTCAAGTCGAAGCATTCCGGGCCCAACCGAAAAACGGTATTGACAATATATATAATCATTAAATTTATTTTTATAATTTAAGTAATAATTTTATTTTTCTTACTAATAATTTTATAGATATAAATTAATTTATGCTTATTAAAAATTTTATTAAATTGTTTAAAAAGTAAAATATTTGATAGAGTTTACAGTAATTTATATATATCATAAAATTATTTTTTTAACCTAAGTAACAATTTTAAAAATTTTATTAATAATTTCATATATATATATATTAACTCAAAATTATTTGAAAGCTTAAGTTATTTAATAAATTTAACAATAATTTATATATATATAAAATCATTAAATTATTTTTTAATTTATGTAACAAATTTTTTTCTTCCAATTCATTGCAATATCTTATATTTTGAATATTGAAACCAAGCAATGTTCCTAACTTGTTGGTTTGGGCGTTGGATTCTCATCCAACCTTGCCGAAGTTTAATTCCCACAAGCCCCCCACCCCCCCCTGTGATTTCTTCTTTTACTACTAAATTTTCATCATGACGGTGACACATGTTACGTTATGATTGGTTGGACAATGAAGTAATTAAATTAAAAAATACATTCTATTCATATTGTGACATATGTCACAATCTAGTTAGATGACGTATAAGTATTAAAACTAAATGTATAATTGTGTCAATTTCTTTAATTGCTACGTCAGCACTTCCGTCAATTGTCATTGATCCCATCTAAAATATATATTTAAAGATTTCTTTGGCGTTCTACACAATGGAAATGAGGTTTCCAGCATGATTGTCCTGAAGAATGAATTAAACTTCATAACGAGAACTTATAGTATTTAATTTAAATTAATCAATTCATAAATTAGATATAAATGGCGAATAAAAAAAATAATTATTACAATATCATTTGAATATGCACAACACTTAATTACTTGTTCAGTCTAGTGACTAATAATTTGCCAGGTGTCTTTAATCTAATGGGGTATAATAAAAATAATTATATAAAACATAAACCATAGTGAATCAAGATTAACGATTAAAACAAGATCGGTTGAACTGAATTCCATTTAAATAAAGCATAGTTGGGGCACATTAACAATAAGTGCCACATACAAAGACAGAAGCACGACACTTTTGATTATAATTTACAAATTCAAAGCTCTGAAAAAACATCATCCATGGCAGCCTTTGCTCGACCTTTTGGCTATGGGATTTATTACTTCAACACTTGTTTTACATGGCGGAGCTGCTCCTGAAGGATCCCATAGCTGTAGCAGCAGATGCCCTTAGGATAAACTGGTGATACACTGCAGCAATGGCAGCTCCAATCATAGGTTCAACCCAGAAAATCCACTGCACCAACAATTCATACAATCATCAAGAGTGCGTTTGGTTTACGGAATGCATATTTTATCAAATTATCTTTATTATATACTTATTTTTTTAACAAGTTGAATTCTACTATAATTTTATTATAATTAATTTATATATTTTTTAAAAAAAATTTAAATTCATAAAAATTCATATAATTTTTTTTACAAAATTGAAAAGATAAATAGGTTTAATGAAAGGGTAAAATTTCATTTTAACCCCTGAACTTCATATAGAATTCTAATTATGATTTTTTTTTGTAAATCTAAAATAATTTAAAGATAAATTTGTAATTTAACCTTAGTAGACTTTTTTTATTCAACGATAGAAGAAAGATATTTTGAAGAAATTTTTTTAAGAGCATTTTAGTCAAAAATACCGATAATCCAACAATACTTAAGGGAATGTGGTAATCACATTCCCGATAATATACCCTAAAAATACTATTATTGAGAATAAAATATTACCGAAGGTTGAGAATGTTTACAAACCAAATAGGAAAATAGTATTTCATTCACCTAATAATCCAACATTACCTAAACCAAACACCCCCAAATGTCTCAACATCAAATGTTTTTAAAAAGCTGTCATAAATCAATTGTTTTAACTCAAAGATTCGTACATGGTCATCCCATATCTTGTCCTCGTTGAACATAACAGCCGCTCCGAAACTACGAGAAGGGTTGATACCGGTGCCGGTGATTGGAATAGTGGCCAAGTGTACCATGAACACGGCAAATCCGATGGGCAGTGGTGCCAGGACCTTAAATCACAAAAACACAAAAATAATTACCGTAAGTATTTAATATTTTTAGTAATATTTATTAAAAATTATTATCTATTTATAATTTATTTTAATGATTTATTTTAAAAATAATTAAAAAAAAAATCTTAAAATCTCTACTTTCTCACAAAATTTCTAAAGTGACTATTTCTCATTAAAAAGAAACTTCAGACTTTTATCTTAATAAAAAAATTAGGCACTTTAAGTAAAAATTCGATATAATTTTGACATCTATTTCAATTAAGACAATTTAAAATAATAATATTGAACTGCATGCAATAATTTTTTTTTAATTTTTTTTATCATTTTTCTAGTATATAGTTTAAAATATTAGTTTATATAATATGATGATTATAACTTAGGGTTAAAAACATAATAATAAATTTTAAGACTGACTTTTTTTTTATAAGTTTGGATGAATACAAGTTAATATATGTTCAAAACTTTCAATTATATAACAATTAACGCTCATTTTTTCTACACGTAATGTTCAAACCCAAAATCTTAAAAGATAACAGTAATCTTTTCAGATTGTCTTTAAATATTTTGTTGATTAATGTATACTTATTATTTTTCAATTAAAAAAAATCTCAAACTCATTTGTTAACTAAGAAATAAAAATCACTCCTCAAAAATTAATACATATATGTGACTATTATTTCAAGGGTGCTTAAATGTATATTTTTATTCAAGGATAGAAAGTTATGTCTAATTTAAGCATTATAATTTATACCTCAAAAATATTTGAAAAATAAATACATCCATCTTACATGAATCAATTTACCTTAATAGTTAAATGAATTGTTATTATTCTTAGAGATCACGGACTTGAATACCAATAACTATATCAGAATGATTAAATGTTCATTATCAAATGATTGAGAGTATTCATAATACATAATACTTCGTAGAGTAATTTTTATTTTTATTTTTTAGAGTTAATTCAACCTTATATATCGAAATCACGACTCTCACTCTAAATTAATCCATAAATTTTTAAACATTTCAATTTCATCCCTAAATAATAACTCTCATTCTAAATTGATTCTCAAACTTTTAAATCTTCCAATTTCACCCTTAAACTTTTAGATGAATTTAAGCGATGTTATTAGAAGATCAAAAGTTTGGGGACTAAATTAGAATGAGAGTCATAGTTTGAGGATGGATTCGGAAGGTAAAAAAGTGTAGGACCAATTTAGACTATCATCAGGGATGAAATTGAAATATTCAAAAGTTTAGAGATCAATTTAGAGTGATAGTCATAGTTTGAGAATGTGTAATTAACTTTGTTTTAGCCAAAAAGGATGAGCAACAACAGACTGAATCTTTGAACCATAGACAAAACTGAAATTCCAATGAAGCAAAGATAAAAACAAAACGAAACATTCTGTCAATCTATTACCTCCCCAAAAAATTACAATTCATAACCACAGAAAAAGAAAAAACGAAATTAGAATCCAAAAGTGAGCAGTATCCTCTGCTAGACTTCATCTAATTCCTCGGCTTTATCTTCTGTGTTAGTCTCCAACACAGGAGAATTTGAAGCTCTGATTCTTTTAGGTGAAACCAGGAGCGGTGGTGCGACTTCAATCCATGAACTCATCTTCTTCGCCATCACTGAATAACAACAACATAAACCCTTTGCTTTCACACTTGTTCTGTTACAGGCTTCCAGTGCCGTGGCTGGGGCGGTGCGAGATGAGCGCAGCCCCCAGAAAAGGACCCAAAAAAAGTATATCTATAGTGGCGTTTTTTCAATAAACACCACTATAGATTGATTTATTGTGACGTTTTTAAAATAACGGTTTTTTTTATTGAAAAAGACTACTATAGATGGACTTATTACAGCGTTTGTAAAAAAAAAAACGATAATATTATTGTCCCGAAATCGAATATATCTAAAAAATAAAAACTATTTTTAAAAATTTATACAGAAATCCCGACAACCTAGCCACGGAGCTGCAGGCTTAGCTGGTTTGATGGATGCTGAAGTGGCGGTGGGTGGTTCTTATAAGGAATTAAGAGGAAAGGGATTAGTTGCCTCCCCTTTATGTTAAAGGCATGTGGAAAACATGGAAGATGAAAATGGACAACACTTGTCAGAAGCACGTGTCAAACCCACCTCACGAGTCACGATTTGGTTGCATGTGACTAAAACCGCAATCCACGTGCACACGTTGATTCAACAGGGTTTGTGAGAATAACATTCCTGAACTTACTACTAGCATGCTTTGGTCGGTCCAAACATTAGATTACGTGTGGAAATGTTGGAGCCAATGCATTTACTTGTTGATCGCAATTTTCAAGGGTGAATTACATGTTTCACACGCAAAAATAGAAAATCTGTCGATTTGGGAAGACAATGAAACAGAGCATAGAAAATGGTTAGGCCTGTAAACGAACTGACCGTATACGAATTGAGGTATGTTCATGTTCGTTCATTTAATAAATAAACGAATATAAACGAACACGAACATAAATGAACACTTTTTTTTCCATGTTCGTTCATTAAGGAATATTAGGCCTGTAAACGAACCGAACACACACGAACGGAGGTATGTTCATGTTCGTTCATTTAATAAATAAACGAACATAAAAGAACACGAACATAAACGAATAAATTTTTTTTTGTTCATGTTCGTTCATTAAGGAATATAGGTTGTTCATGTTCGTTCATTTAAATGATAAACGAACATAAACGAACGTAAACGAACACAAACGAACGAACACAAATGAGCATAATAAAAGAACATAAACGAACACAATAAACGAATATAAAAAAAAACACAAACACAAAAAACAAACTTATTCGAACACTACAAATGAATGTAAAAAAAAGTAAACAACAAGAATAACAAAGTACAAATTATTAATAATTTGTTCAACAAAACAATCTTCTTGTCATTTAATTAAACGAACGCAAAATCTTGTTCATGTTTATTCATTTAATAAATAAACGAACATAAACGAACTTCTCGCCGTACGGTTCATGAACGGTTCACTGAACGTTCAGTTAATTTATAGGCCTAACAGCATGTTCCACATGGGCATTATATGGAACTCAAGTTACCCACTTCTCCCGACAAACAAGTTCAGAAGTAGCACCGACAAGGCTCCTGTATTCAATTTCAGCTGTAAGAAGCCCATAAAACACATAGTAACCAGAGACAGAGAGACATCACCAACCCCGACCAACGTTAGGAAAAGCAACAAGAACAGGTACATCAAGCTGCTGACAAGGAAGTCAAAGCCCGTAGTTAACAATACCCTTCAAATAAGATTGTGTTAGAAGCCATTATCCAAGTCCCGGATTTCTCCACACCTATTCCTGTTATGCTTAATATTCTTTTTCTTGCGATCCTTCTTAGGCTCATTCAGTGCTTTGATGAGAAACGCCGTGATTTTAGATTGACAGTTTTGGACAGTGAGTTTGTCAGTTACACAAAAACCTTTCCGGTATTTAGGGATTTCCTTAACGATGTATTCATCGACTTCTCCACTGAAAGATCCAAAGGACTGATTTTGGGTGCGAGGGAACTAGCAGCTCCAACTTCACTGCCGATGACTCCAACGATTACATCAACGATTTGCGTGTGCTCAAACTTTCAAGGCATGAAATCCCAAATCTCACGCTTTAAGTTCTAAACCTTAAATACTCAAACTTGTACAACAAACATTAAAACCTCAGGCCCTAAAATCTCAATCTTCAATCATAAACTCTAAACCCTAAAACATAAACCTTAAACCCTACACAATAACTCCCAACCTTAAACTTTAAAACTCCAAACTCCAAATCTTTAAAACCCTAACCCTTTAAACCTTTAAACCCTAAACACTATACAAATTCATTAAGATGTCTCTACAGCCACCATAGTGCATTATCGTAGAATGAGTAACCTCCTCTACCTAACCAAAAAGCATTAAGTGTCCTATACAACGAGACTACATTATAGAACCGATTTAAAGAGTACAAAGCCTCTACTCTAATGAAGTGTTGAGATGTGAACACTCTTTGGAGACAACTATCCCCCATTTTTACGATAGATAGTATAAGTGATAACCAGACAACGTTTCTACCTGGCCGACAAATTACGGATAAAATATTAGTTGCTCATGAGTTATTAAATTATATGAACTCCTCTAAAAATGGAATTAATAAGGGTGCAACACTTAAGTTAGATATTGAAAAGGCTTATGATTGGGTTGAATGGAGATTTTTAAAAGCCATTATGTGGAAACTTGGTTTTGCACCGGGTTTTATGGAGGCAATTATGTTTTTTTTTTGAAAATATGGAGGCAATTATGCGTTGTGTGACATCAGTGTCTTTTTTAGCGAGGGTCAATGGGTCACTTACTAGTGAATTTTCCCTATCTCGAGGAATTCGTCAAGGGAACCCCATGTTTCCGTTCCTGTTCCTCTTTGTAATAGAGGGGTTATCTGTTATGTTCCATAAAGCGCAACGAGAAAGCAAGATTAAGGGTATTCATGCGAGCCAGTTGGGACCTCGGGTTTCTTTGTTACTATTTGCGTACTATAGTTTTTTTTCTTAAAAATTATTTCTCTGAGGCCATTGAAATAAAACGATTACTAACTTTATATGCCTATTCATCAATACAACATATAAATCTTAAAAAAATCTATTATTTACTTTAGTCCCAACACAGTCAATGAACACCGTCAACAATTGACTAATGTGTTTGGTATATAGAGAGTTGACTCTCTAGGGCACTATTTGGGATTGCTACTTTACATTGGTAAGAATAAGACTCGAACATTTGACTATTTACGTGACCAGGTCGTTGTAACAACCCAAATTCTGGGCTAGTAGTTTCGGGTTTACCCGAGAGGTATGTAGACTTTTTGAATTTTATAAATTAAGTTGTTAGACTTAATTGGGTTGGTTTTGGAGCCCAATTGTCATAAAAAATGGGATTTTTAAGCAAGGGACAAAATGTGAAGGACCCAAAGTGCAATTATACTATCAATGGAATTTGAAGCTAAA